CGCCACCAGGCCACCAGGCACGCGGGTGTGGCTGGGCTCCCGGCTGGGCTCCCACTGCATGGAGAGGAGGCCTTGGGAGACCTGCGCTTGTCCCGACCCCCGTGTGGTTATTAGGACCTGGACTCTCTAGGATGAAGATAGCTGAACCCCGGTCTCTTTCCTCAAAAGGGGGTGTTTCTTCATCTGTGACTCCCCCAGACCAGTCTCTAATATTACATACAAAGCTCCAAAGAGCCTTTGGATATGTTAGGGCCTGGGATTTTATGTGATTTTCTGAAGTAAAAAAAAAAAAAAAATTAAAGACAGGTGTGATCAATTTGCAGCCGCTCCAGCATCAAGTGATGTAGAAGTTAAGCACCCCTTTCTTGAAGAAAAACACCCTTATATTTGCCTCAAAATTCATCTTGCAAAAGCTCCCTAGGGCTGTTGTAATGATCACTTCACACGGGATTCGAACAAGGAAATAACTGAAATTCTGTAGGACAGAAGACAAATCAGGGCAGGGCTATATTCGTCTTTTGAGGGCGCGTCTTAACTTCCGGTAATTCTTTGCCTTGTGTAACTCCAGCTTTCACATATTCTCCCCGTGTGCTTACGAGTCCAACTTTATTTATAAGGACGCTGGTCATGTAGTATGGCCCTCAGTGTTTGCAATGACCTCATTTCTAAACAAGGTCACATTCTGATGTGGAGGGCCACAGTGAGGCCTTAAGCCCCCAAGTTCCCTGTGACAAACATACATGTCCCACATCCCACTGCTTTTTTTTTTTTTGTCTCCTTTTCAAACGCTTCCAAAAGACCACCCCAAACCTCTGTGTTGCTTCGCATCTTTGTCGTTTCTTCTTAATATTCGCAAATGTCTTCCAGATTCTCCATTTCAACTTGTTTTAATTTTTCTCTTACTTTCTTTGCTAATTATATATCACAGTAATTTCAGGGTATCTTCTAGCTTTCATTTGCATATATGAGTTGAAATTAGAAAAGCAGCTGTTTTTTGTCCTCCCACCTGGCATTGGTTTAGGCATGATTTTTGCTCCTCTGGCATCCACAAGCCATCCCTTTAACTTCCTTGCCAATTAAAATCACAGTTCAAGCATAGTGCTTATGTTGAACTCCCCCTGGCATGTAACTAACTATAGCAAGACTCTGAGGCACTACAACTAGAAGTGACTCCATTAAGAAATAATGCCTAATGGTTTGGTTTGGCTTTGTTTTGATCTTGCTATGAAGTCCTGGCTTTGCCTACTCACTGTGTAGCCCAAGGGACCTCACAAACATCAGTTCTCCTGTGGCCTCTCAAGGGTTGGGATTAAAATTCATATATGTTTTTCCGTGCAACTCTTTCTTCTCCTTTTATAGGAATATAAGGATTCTTTTCATGTTTTTACTGTATGAGGCCTTCCATAGCCATCTCATCCAGACTCTCTGAACACCGAGTGTTATATCCTCACTTCCACACTTTATTTTCTCTTTAATATCATCACTAGACTGGCATGTATTTTGCCTTTTGGCTATTTCATTTAAACAGAAGTCCTGAAAGATAGTAATTTTTGCCTTTTATTTGCCATTATATCCCCAGTGTTGAGAACAGAGTTAACACAGCAAGTGTTTAGTGAAAGTTGCTATATGAATAAAAAGTCTGTATATCCCTCCTTCCCAGTGATTTTATCCTGAAAGAGAGCAAGGATGGTGCTAAGGGCCCTGGCTGCTCTTGTAGAGGACATGGTTTCCATTCCCAGGACCCTCAGGCTTCTCACAACCATCTGTAACTCCAGTTCCAGAGAATCTAATGCCCTCTTCTGGCCTCTGAAGGCACCGTGACCTTACGTGGTACATGGACAGACAACCTCCAAAGCAATACAAAGAAACACTGTCTTGGGGAAAAAAAAAAAAAAAAACAAAAACAAAAAAAACAAAAAAACTGGTGTTGAGATTTTCCTCATAAGAATAAAAGAAATTTTAAAATAAAATAAACTTGGCACCTCACAGTAAAAGTACTTGTTCAATAACTGTGCTATAATAACCATTCTGTAGTAGTCTTTTTTAAGCAGTGAACCCCCCACTGGGTTGAGTGTGATACTGTGTTCACTCTTTGTGTTCATAGAGGTTCCTGCTTTCAAACAAGGTGATGGCTAGAAAAATGGCCTTTCCTTATTTGCCATTGCATCCCCAGTGCTCAGAACACAGATAACACAGCAGATGTTAAGTGAAAGTCACTACATGAATACAAGTCATTCTGCTCTCTCTTTTTCCAGTTATGATCACAAACAACCAGGGAAATATTCCTTATATTAAGAGCTCCTCCCAGGAATCAGCTTACTTTCCCAGTGCTGCAAGTTAGGCAGTGGTCAAGTGAGTGAGTAGGCCCATTACAAAGTGAAGTAGAGGTCTACAGATTCCCTCCATGAAATATGTTCCTAAGCATCCTGTTCATTGGGATAACAAGTTCTTTTACAAATTGACATGATTCGATAAATGGTTTTTATTTGAGAAGAAAAGCATCAAGGAGGATCTCCCTGGGAAAGATAGAGTTTAACTAATGCCTGTTTGCAGATGATCAAAACCTTTCAGGAGAACATGCTGGGAGGGGCGGTGCAAAAAAGAAAGAGAAGAGGGGATGTCTTTACAAGAGTAACGGGGAGCTGATTGCCTTTTCGTGGCCATGATGCTCTATACCACTCGAAGGGATCTCAGTGAAATAGTTAACTGAACTTTACAATAATAAGATGATTTCACAGTGATGTTTTCTACCTAAACTCTTTCTTCTTAAAAGACCTCATTAGTGAAGTTAGGCTCACCTGGATAGAACCACTGAAATGTTTCAGCCTTATTTTTACCTCTGCTCATTGTCCCCTAATCCATTTAGTTAAGTATCAGCAATTTCCTAAATCCTCTGGGACCTAAATTTTCTCTTTCATACTCTGTCAACTCAAACTAATGACTATAGATTTCAAAAAAATATAGACCTACATTTATGTACACTTTGAGATAGGATGGGAGACTCAAAACTCTGTTAACCTGGTTAGTGAGTATCTCTAATAAGCTCTGTGCTGTGCTAATGTGTTCATTACTTTTCTCATTGCTGTCAAAAGGGGGCTGACAAAGGAAACTTGAGGGAGGTGAGGGAGGTCTTGGCTTAAGAAGATACAGCCTATACTGGTGTTGAAGCCATGTTGGCAGGAGCTGAGGCAGCTAGTTTTATGCCTGGCAATTAGGAAGCAGAGTGATGGATGCTCATGCTGAAGGCCTTTTTTTTTTTCAATCCAGCCCCCAGAGGTGTGGAATAGTGCGGCACAGAATTAGGGTGGCTCTACCCACCTCAGTTAACCTAATCTAGAAGCTCTCATGGGCAGGTCTAGAGGTTTGTTTCCATGGTGATTCTAAAACCCATCAAGCTAACAATGGAGACTCAGCATCATAGGCTAGATCTAACTGAAAGTATATGTTATGCAAAGCAAGGGTAAACCAGTCTGTTTTAACAGTCTCTTCCTGTTCAAA